GATCTTCACAAGAACTCCATGAAGTAGGTATAATAGAGGAAGCTATGACCCAGGTGAAGCAACTCTCCCTAGGTCACTCAGCTATAAGCACAAAGCTGAGAAACTGTGGTCACAGGCCATATGTTTTCCTCCCTTAGTGAAGACTAGTAGAAACATGGGCAGCTGTGAGCAGGCTGGTAAGCAGGATGTGGAGGCGTACAGGTTTAGTTGACCTGGCTTGGAGGAAGCTTAAGCAGGCAGAGGGACCCATGTGAGGACATGGAAGGGGGACACTCTAGGGTTTTCCTCTCACCCTGGGCCAGTGTCAAAATCCTAAAGCAATATACCCTGTCCGAATACAGTAGGAGGTTCATTCATTCTTAGTACTTATCCCTTCTTAATAATAATAACAAAAACATGTCACATCTTCACTGTTTACTAGGTATACTTTGAAGAGTATCCAATTTACTTACTGTAGTATCTGAACTGAACTTTGCACATGATCAATAAAACTCTATTAAACAAATGTCCATAAACCATTAATACTCTAATAAAGCAGACACATGTCAAAGATACTCTAGGAGATGTTTATCCAGCCTTCTAAAATTAATTCTCCATTTTAACTTCTTTGTGTTTGTTTTTAAGTTGGCCATGTCCCACAACTAGCAGAAAATGTAAGAAAAGAGACTTCATTGCTGTTTTAACATAGTATTTCTCGCATCTTAGAACAATGCCTAGCATGTAGAAATAACGGAGTAGATACTCATGAAGTAAATACTTGAAAAAGAATCTGCTTTGAGACTGTTCACCAGGCCTTTGCAGGCAGCCTTCCTTCATAGCAATCCAGTATGAGTTAGAAACTCTACACTGTTTTATTACCTTCATGCCTTGAAGCACTCATGCTAAGAAGCACAAAGAAAAGAAAGGGCTTTGCTGGACATTTCTGGAGACCGGAGGGAGATGGAAGAAGATTAAGCACAGCTGTTCCTTTCTCCCTAAAACTCTACTGGGTCTCTGGCCTCAGCAACCTGCCTTATCTGCCAGCTGGCCATCCCTCCACCCCCTCATACTGCCACCCTCCTGCACCGCAGGTCACGATCCCACAATTCTCCATCATTCCTCTTGTAGGTCTATATCCCTCTTGTTATTCTGCAGTGTAGAGTCCTCAGTTTGCCTCCTCCTGCTATCCTTTTTAAAAAAATATTTTGTTATTTTTATTTTATGTGTATGAGTGTATTGCCTGTAGGTATGTAAGTGTACCTGTGTCCTGCCATGCCCGAGGAGATCAGAAGAGGGCATCAGATCTCCTAGAACTGGAGCTACCCATAGTTGTTAGCTTCTATGTGGGTGCTGGGAACTGAACCCGGGTCCTTTGCAAGAACAGCCAGTGCTCTTAACCACTAAGCATCTTGCCAACCCCTCAAAGGACATACTTCTTGGTAGACATTCCTGGCTCCTTAGAAGGAAGCATGGGAATTAAAAATAAATTTTTCTCTCTTTTAGATATCTTTCTTTTCCTGTCACATACAGAAATCTGAATTTGAATCCAAGTTTTTAACCATTTGTAGTGCATGATCTCACATAATTACCTACCACCTGAGTCTCTTCATCTTACAACATGGAGCTTTTTTGAGAATTAAATGGAACGGGCAAAGCATCCAATATAGAATAAGCATTAAGGAAGACATTAGTTTTTGCTTTGTCCTACAAGTAAACTCCTGAAGGTCTAAAAGGAACAGTGAACTAAGAAAACTTGAAGTACCACAGAATGGTGCAATAGAAACACATCACTGCTGAGAACACTGCAGTACCTAGGGCTTCCAGTGTCAGTCACCCCAGGCAGTTCCTGTGGACAATAGTGAGCGGGTGGAAGGGGGATGTTGTTTATGACTCAGAAGCTACTGAGTAAAGGGAATTGTATATCCTTCACTGTTAAAACAGTTACAAGAAAATACTAAAAATACAGTATAAGGGAAAGGGGGCTGGTGGGACAAGTCTGGGACTCTAGTTCTTCAAAGGCAGAGACAGGAAGATGGAGTGTTCAAGGTAGCCTGGGTTACATAGGAAGTTCCAGACCAGCCTAAGTAACAGAAGGGGAGGAGAGGGAAGGAAACTAGAAAGTATCATCCATGGCAGCAGTCAGCCTTGGAAACAGACACATACACATCTCAATGACCAGAAGGAATGTGGTTTATTGTTCACAATAAGGAAATGTCACAAACCAAGGTCACTGTCACACCCTAATCCTGTCACCAGCCCTCAGCCCTCAGTTTCCTCATTATAAGCAGGTGAGCCTTTGAAGGCATCTCACTCAGCCCCACCACATTTCTTAATGGTGAGTTGTGCCTGCCATCACTGCACATTATTATCCCCAGCCTGCTAAAACATAATTACCTCAAAAATACCGATCAATTGATTCTATACAAACTATACTTAAAACCCTAATTGAAGAGCCTTGACTGCCATTTAAAAGGTTGTGATTCCAGTGAGCACTTACACATTCAAAAGTAGGATCTACAAGATTGCTTAGCAGGTGAGGGTGTCTGCTGCCAAACCCGATGATCTGAATTGCAATCCCAAGACCCACATGGAAGAAGGCAAGAACTGACTCCTACAAATTGTCCTCTGACCTCCACATGCAAACTGTGGCACTCACGGACCCACAGGCATATACACATAATAAATAAAGAATAAATGAATGCAATAAAAAAATTTTAATATATAAAATAACCTAGGAATGCCTACCCAGATAAACAAAGTCATTACATCATAAAGAAACGTAAAAAGCGTTTGGACATTTGTCTAAAACAGAAGAAAAAACTACTCTCCCAGGCAAGAACTGACCCTCTAACTAATGATGTGAGGGCAAAATTCAACCGTAATGTTGTAGACATCTAGAATATTTTGAAGGTCAGTTTAGGCCAGTGCATAACACTTTTTTTAACCTTTTATGAAGTCAGTTTTGAAAAATTACCTTGATGGTTCTGATAGTTCCTAAACCTGAAATCATTTGCTATGTGACATTGAGTTTTAGGTAAAACTTGGGCCTAAGAATTGATACAAATCTGACCTGGAAAGCTTGAAGGATGTATCAGAGACTTGACCTGAAGAGTGCCCTTCCACGAGTGGAACCCCAAAGCACTCAAGAGAAACACTGCTTCTCTCCTAGGACTTGGACTCTGCCCATCTGCTTCTACAGCTCTCCTAGCTTCTGATCCCTGTGCCTCTTCCGCACACTCGGTTATTCTGCAGGGATGACCTTTCTCCCTATTTTGCTGAGGGAACCGAAGCTCTCCATGCCCTCTCCACCATATCCATCCATCTTGCTGCACATGAGTCCACTGCCTCTGCTTTCTGTTCTATAGACTGGATGCATGGCCAGTCTTAGGTAAGACCGACTCACATCATCCACTCTGCTCTGATGCAACTCCTCTGACCTACTCGAGCATTCTTCCAAGATCTCCCCGCCTTCTGCTATTAGATTTTTCCATATCTATTGAATGATTCTTGTCAGCATCCAAACTTGTCATTTCTCCTGTCTTGAAAAAATAATAAATGAACAAACAAAAAAGACTTTCTTTTAACACATGACCCGGCCCTGCCTCACTGAACAGCACTCCTCAACAGAGTGTGTCAAGTATGCTGTCTCCAATTATGCTCCTCTTGCCGTCTTACATTCCTGCCAATCCAGCTTCTGTCCCCACTAGCAAGTCTGCTTTCCAAAGACATCCATGGCTCCACTTTGAGATTCCAGTGGCCAGTTCTCTGTGCTCACCTTAGCTGATGGCTGAGCAACATCTGATGTAGTCGATTGCCCCTCCACACACTCATTCACTTCCCTTAGCTTCCACATCACAATCTCCTGATTTTCCTCTACCTCTGGGGCTGTTGTTTTGTAGTCAGCTCTGCTGTGCCTTCCCCATTTCCCCACATGCCCTGGGAGTTCATCCTTGACCCCTTCCCCATATGAACTGATTCCCTTGGTCTATTCAGCCAGCCTCAAGGCTTTACATACCAACAGTATGCTGACAGCTCCCAATTTTTAAATTTTTGGCTCAAGTTCCTAAATGCTTAATATTGCCTCTCAAATGTCTAACCATCCTCTCAGAAATAGCATGTCCTGGGGCTGGAGAGATGGCTCAGTGGTTAAGAACACTGACTGTTCTTACAGAAGACCGGGGTTCAAATCCCAGTACCCACATGACAGCTAACAACTGTCAGTAACTCCAGTTCCAGGGGATCTGACAACCTTCTTCTGTCTGTCCTCCAAAGGCATTGCACGACACGGGTGCACTTACCTACACACAAGCAATACACACACACACACACACACACACACACACAAAAAAAAATAATAATAATAATAAATAAAATATTTTAAAAATAGCATGTCCAAGACTGACCTCAGTACACATCAGTAAACAGAAATTCCATTCTTCTAAGGGCTCAGACCAAAATCTTTGGCTTATCTTTATTTTTTTCCTCAAATTCACTAATCACATTGAACGTCTTACAAAACATATCTAGAATCTTATCACTTCTCCCCCCACCAATGTAGTCCA